CCCCCGCAAAAAAACCCCCAACCCCCCCCCCAAAAACCAAGCCAAAACAAAAATCAACCCAACTTCCAGGGTAGTTTTAAGGCTGAACTAGAAGAAGGATTCAAAGCTTCATTGTATAACCAATTACTCTGTAGTCTAGCCTTTTCTCTCGCTTCACATATTATTAGTTTTATGTCCTTCTAGGGATACTGATCCTGGGAGATCCAACATGACAAATCACCAAAGGGACACGGGGAAGAGTTGTTTAAAAAAAAAGTGCCATAAATTTGCCATCTTCAGTCAAGAGGTGAATAACTATGTATAACAGATAACCCCACACTGAGCTGACTGGGGAAAGATACCCAGAAAGTCTATGTGCCAGCTGAATCCATTTCAGTTCAGTGCTGCTCAAGGAAGAATACCAACAACCTTCACTGTTGGGGTGGGAGGTAGGGAGGTACCTAATGCATCTGTGATTCCTTGTCCATTTTAGGGCATCTTGAATCTCAGAGGTACTCAAGAGGAAGCAGTCCCTGCCTCCTAGAGAGCACAGGTGCAAAGAACAGTCTGTCTGCACACAGGTATGAAAGGGGGCTGAATTTGAGGCTACATTTCCCATCTTGTCTAGGCAACAAGACAAAATCTGGCTCAAGGAAGTAGGGAGGTTTCCTTCCTTTCTTCCCTCTCCAAAGTGACACCCACAATGCTCAGTTCTTTCCTGATACAGGAGTACACTATAAGTCACACTGCAAAGGAACAGGAAAAAAAATAGATTTGCTTTGAAAACAAACTAACAAATTAGTTAGCCCTTGTGTGGTAGGAGACACCACTGACTTTGGCAGCTCTTTATCCTGCCATGTATTTGAGCTAAAGCCACTCTCTCTCTGGCTACATCAGGGGCGGACAAAATTCGGCCCGTGGGCTGGATGCGGCCCACCGTGTCATTCTATTCGGCCCGCGGGGCCACTAAAAATTTAGAAAATTAATATTTATCTGCCCCAGGCTGCCTGTCATGCGGCCCTCGATGGCTTGCCAAAATTCAGTAAGCGGCCCTCCGCCCGAAATAATTGCCTGCCCCTGGGCCACATTAAACCTGTGTACGGACTTCATTTACTATAAAGGTTTGCACACAAACCTGTTTTAGCACATGGATATAGATTTTTTGGTTTGTGCAGGCACCTGTTGATGTCCTGCCTGATGTAAGACTTCATGTCAGTCTCCTACTCTCCCACACAAAAAAAAACCTGGCACAAATTGTTTGCATGGGCCCACCCAGTTTTAACGCAGAAGCAGTATTAAAATGACAAAGTAGATGAATTCACCACCTCTGGTTGGTGTGTTGAATGGCTCCACTGCATGAGTGCCTGGCAGGCAGACTGTAAAGTTACCAGAGATGTTAAGCCCTGCTGATCAGGACAGGAATAGGAAGAACAGGAAGATCAGAATGGGTGACATGTCAAATTACATTCATATCATCAGGCACATATGTTGCTCAGGAGAATCTGTCTCTCTGACCTACTTTCTAGTACCAGAGACTTTCAGGCTCTGTAGCAATTTAGTTTATTTTCTTCTTCCGCCAGGGGAGCTAGAAATCCTCATTACTCACCAAAGCAGGGAGAGCCAGAGTAAACATCTCTCCCCTCCACTCCGCTTTCATAAGGCACTAGAGAGTTAGACACTAAAAACATCGGTATGGAGATTTAATACTCAAGGAGATCTAGGATTTGGTCATCGACCCACAGCAGAGCAGCTCAAGGTGTTTTTATTGACATTAATGTGATCAGGTAGCCTTCCTTTTGGCAGTTCCCCTTCCACTAGTTTTCAGCTGAATCAGGCTTTGGAGGGCACCATCAACTCTACTTCGATGCAGGAAACTACTACTACATGGATTTTCAGTGCACAGACTGAAATCTGCTTTATTATGGGAAATCCCAGGACTGACTGATGCAGAAGCAATATTAAAATTACTAAATAGATGAGGCATCAAATGTCTAATTATTGGGGGGGAGGGGGTTGCTATATTCAAAATTGTCTTATATTTGAGCAAATACACTAGTAGGCCCAAACCCAGATAAATAACAAAAAACATAACCAGACCCCTGAAACACTTTCCCCAGGTTTGCTCGTATACTATTTCCTGCCAACTGCTAAACCAGAGATGCATTTGACAGCCTCAGCGTTCCCTCCATGTTCTTTCTATTTGACATCAAATGTCTCTTAAAACATAGTAAAGTATGAAAAAAAAAATACTAATGACCGAATAACTCTGTCAAGCAAACATATTCAAGCAGTTGTCCATGACTACACAGGAGGAAGGCTATTTCCCACAGGCCTATACAAAAGGTAAAAGGGACCATTTTCTATGAAAATAAAATGAGAAAAAAAATGAAGTGCCATGTCTGAAAACTCAGCTACCTTTTCTGTTGTTTTCCCCATCCTTTGAAGATATCATCTACTTAGATTAGAAGCACTCCAAGACAGTGATCATTTCTACTAAAATATACATGCAGAACCTAGCACAGCAGGACCCCAAACTCAGGATGTGTACACAGATTCAAATCATCTGGGAGCATCCTCCCAGTTTTGTTCTATTGGTAAAGAAACATTTTACCCAGAGCCTCAAGTATGGACATTTGAATACTGAGGCCCTGAAGAGTGGAGAGATTGGAGTGCTCTCACGGTGTAGTCAAGGAGGGGCCCTGTGCACACATCTCAATGTGCTCTGCAGGCTCCTTTAGTCTGCCTGTAAACCATAGGTGACATGTAGAGGGGGCACTGGGGGTGGGGATATGCTGCCCCCCCACCCCGAGATTGGCCCTTACCAGCTGGGGAGTACCGGCTGGTGCTCCCTCCCTCCCCTCAAGTGCCAGCAGCACTTCTGGGGTTGGCTGCCAGGGGACCCCCCTGACCCCAGTCAGCAATCAGCTGCTGGTGCCCCCTCCAGAGCCAGGAGGCGCCAGACCTCATGCTGGAGACATAGGGCAGTAGTGTAACTGGGCAGCCCCAATTAACTGGCCCAGGCTGCCCTCAGTCAGCCTGTGTTTTCCTGTAGCACACTGTGGGGATTGTGAAGGGGACGTGTTCTGCAGAGCAGTAGAGCCCAGTGAGCAGAAAAAAGTCACCTGGAATAGGGAAGGGGAGGGGAAATCCTGGAGGATTATGCTCTCTTCTGAAAGAAGAAGTCACAGTATGTACAGACATTTGCTCTCCCAGGAGAAATTCTCCCCCAAGTGATTTAACCCTGATTGCCCCCAAGTTATTTTTCTCCTGGAACAGTCATTTTTACTCCAGGAGAAAAAGTCTGAATGTCTGTACATTTGTGGTTTCTCCTGAGAGAGCAGCAACTCTAAGAGAAATTGAATATCTGTATGAGACCTCATTTTCTGTCTCAGATAATATAAGTAAAAGTAAAGCAAAGTCTGTGTCACTCATATTGACATGTGTTCTTAATCACGGATGTGTCTGAGGTTATAAAGAAAAAGGACCAGTTTTGTGTTGTCACTCCAGGTAAAGAATGAGACCTCCCATTACTGAAAGACTCAAAAATATGTTTTTTTGAGATGGGTTGATGCATGCAGGGAAGTAAGCCATTTAGATGTTTCTAATTTTGCTTGTCTTTAAAAAAAAGCAGCTCGTTAACAACATAACAAAAATCACGGGTCAGCAACCTATGGCCCATACCTTTCCAGTGGAAGAAAAGAAAATGAGCAAAAATATTTTAACTGGATATTAGGAAAGCATTCCTAATGATGCTGTCAAGAGAAATGGTAGAAGTTCTGTCACTTGATTTAAAGGGAAAAAAAACTACGTAGAAGAAAAGACCCTTTATTTTACACTTTTTGGATTCCAAATGTCCCTGGTAGCCACCCAGAGTTCTCTGCTGGATACATACCAAAGTAAACTGAAGTCAACAGCAAAACTCTCTAGGATGCAAGAGAACTCAGGTGAAAAACTGAAAAGATTTTCATATACCTGAAAGCCACCAGTCCACATTGTGAAACAAGATGGTAGGCATCCAAAATCTCAAGATAATTACCATTCTAGCACTGCCTGATACCTTGAAATAGTTTCTGCAGAAAGAGCATGAGTGACACATGGAAAGGAGCCAAATCTTCCTTCCCAAGTTAGAGATGGTCCTCTGTTTATGCTACTGGCAGTGGATTTGAGGTTCAATAGAGATCTACCTAGCACCTTTCAAAGACAAAAAAAAATTGCCCAATTTATTGTTGTTGGGAAGTAGCAGCAATTGTGTAGCAGACAAAAACAAGCACTTCAGAGAAGCCTGTGGAGCTGTGTAAAACAGTCTCCCCTAACCATCGGCAAAGGATTCTAAGCAGCCCTTTCCAGTGACTGGAAACCAGTCACTTTTATAGGGAAAAAAGTTAATGGAAGTCACTTGGTACACTTAAAGTATGATTTACACTAACATTTAGAAATTAAACACACTAATGTTATTGAATATATTAAAAGCAGTGGTGTTTCTCTCTGCCTCTGTGGGTAATTATTTGACATGCACCTAAGAACTGGATTCTGTTTTAACTCAAGTTAAAAGGCTTCCCATCAAATGGAGTTGGCTAATATTACTGTAAATCCTGGCATAGACATGATACTTGACAAACATTTATGTGAGGGTTTATGGCAGAGTCTTAAGTTAGGCCCAAACATTTGTGGTTTTTTGACAAATGTTTGTGAAGCATCAAGCTTAGTTTCCAGATTACAGCTGTGTCCCTTAACTCCAACTGAAAAAAAAAATAAAACAAACAACGCCCCCCAACCAGATGACACAAGTTGAAGCAAGGCCACAAAACCCCCTAATATAGATATACCATGGATCGGTTTTATTTTAATGGCAGTTGATATTCTCAGCCACATATTGGATTCTTATATTACAGCCAATAACTTTGTTCCAACATAGGTTAATCTCTACTTCATGAAAAATGGGCTTTTGCACCATTAAACTAAAAAGGGATTTAGATCGGCAAGTCTGGCACTGGTTGCCTTAAAAGCAGACAGTGAAAAGACATAAAAATGAAATTGTATTTTTGGCAGCTTCAGCACTAAACTGCTGTCAAAGTGCAGACAGCTCCTTTGACATCGAACAGCTCACTGGACAAATTCTTCCTGATGTGCTTTTGGTATTCACTTTATGGCCGAAAGTGCTCTCTCTCAAAATGATCCAACTCAAATTTCAGGAGGCTTCCCAACAGGTGGTTCAATGGCAACTTCCTCAACGCTTTTTAGAATTCAGTTGATTTGTCAAGTCAAAATGAATTATGGTGATGGACAGAGCATACTGGACAGCTTTCTTGGGTGCATACTCTGAATCAGAGAAACAACCAGAATTTTGAGGGCTGAAAAAAAAAAAAAAAACCCCAAAGTGGCAGCAAACCTTTGGGACAACACAGTGAAGAACATCAGGACACAGACTGCAGCTAGGTTAAAAACTCTGTAAGGAAACAGTACTTGTTCCCTCACCAATTATTTGAAGGAAACATGTATTTATTTTTGAAGACCATTTAAATGGTGCCCTCTACCTTTTCTGGATTCCCAAGGTGTCGGAGATTTATTCTGATGAGTTCCCACTGACTTCACTACTATTACTCATGACATACAGCACTGCTCATTGCAAGTAAAACTACCAGAACCTGGCTCCATATACCTTGTCTTCTATTTTAACCAGACTCTTTGGTACCAGAGTCTCTCACAAAACCATTCACCCTGGACTCAAATTTCAGGAGGCTCCACAACAGGTGGGTCAACATCAACTTCCCCAACATCCAATTGAAGCATCATCCTAAGCCAGGGGTGAGCAAAATGCAGCCTGGGGGCCGGATGCAGCCTGCCAGGCCATTCTATCCGGCCTGCGGGGCCCCTAAAAAATTTAGAAAATTGATATTAATCTGCCCTGAGCTGCCCATCATGCGGCCCTCGATGGCTTGCCAAAACTCAGTAAGCAGCCCTCTGCCCAAAAGAATTGCCCGTCCCTGTCCTAAGTGTATGAATCCTTCCAGGCTGCTCTGCTATGTTGGCCTCGTTGCAGCAGGATGGCAATCAGCAGTGCCTTGTTTGTACTAGTAATATTTCATAGAAAATTTATATCTTGCAATAACTCTGCACAGTTGCTATTTTTAACGGTGGAACACAGTTCAAGACTAATTAAGTGTTGTTCCTTCAGGCATCAAACAGATGTTACTCAAAGTTTGCCAGGAGCTGGTGGGATCTTCCTAATTAAATTGCATCTAAGGTCAGATGAGCTTTTTTGGGTCTTTCCTTAGGGAAAAAAGACCCCAGAAGATAAGTGCCACAAATTATTTAAAAAAATAAATATGTTTCAAAATCTGTTTCTTTCAGGATGGTGAAAATACTAGTTATTTGCATTACAATAGCACCTACAGCCTTCAGCTTCAGCCAAGAGTCTGACCCTGGTCAGAGAGTCGCCCTGCATCCAGAAGCTTAAAAATTACATACAAAAACTATGCAAGGCAGGAGAAAGGAATTACTAACTTCATTTGCTAGACAGGGAATGGAAACAGAAAGGAATGAAGTACCTAGCCAAGAGGTAACGACAAGTATTTTGTAGAAGAGTCAGGGTTCAAACAGATTCAAATCTAGTTCAAATGGCACATGACTTTTCCAGCACTGAAGGGTAGAATGAATTTGAGAAGTGACCAAATCATTCAATCTACCTCACTTTGCCACTGCAGAATTGGCCTTTGCTCTATGCTGTTTAGGCTTTGTTAACACTACTTCGAGAAGTGCTAGTTGATGGGTCAAGCCCTCCTTGTCTATTAGGAACTTCTGCCATAGTCATCTACATCTCACCCCCAAGGGCCTTTTGCTAGTGTCTATATGCTGGTTTCCCTCTCTTGAATTGCAGCTGTGTAGTTATCCATCAAGCGTTTCAACCTTATACAAATCAACCCCAATGACTGACTCCACATTCTTTGGTCTGGTATTAAGACAAAAAAAAAAAAAAAAAAAAAAAAGATTAAAATAAAGCCAAAGGCTCCTTTAAACTTGTTTATTATGAAATGACAGCAGCTCTTGCAGACTCCTGGCATCCTGCATCTTTCCCACAGCACAGGCCTCCCTGTGGTGGAAGAGCTAGGGGGAAAAATATTTCAGCTTAGCTTGGTGGTTACCTTCACAGCCCAGATGGACTGATCCAAAGGGTGGAAGAGTTTAAAACAGAAGCCGTCCTTTTTGGAGGGTCTTTCGATCAGCTCACAGGAATGGAGCAGGATGGTGCCTACCCACTGCCCAGTCTTTGGTGTTTTGTAAATCAATAGCACGCCTGGTTTCAGAACACACCACAGCTTGGTCCAGCTTTTCAGAGTCCCACGGATCTGCAGGGAAAGCAAGCAAACAGTTTGACTGTTGATCCTTAAATCAAGTATTCAAATGTTTTCAAAACACATGCTTCACTCCAAGTCACATTCTAACAACTTCATTCATGCCAACATGCCCAGTACTCCATGGTTTAATTGCTTTAGGAATACTTATGGAGAAAAACTACTATTCCACATGAGCCAGTATATCAATCTAGCCCCTGGCATTTAACTGATTTGATCTATACAAGTTTTGCTGGAGAGCTGCTGTGTCAAGACATAAATGCTACTTGTTGCTGAGCTGAAAGGTTTCAACGCTTCAAACTCTGAAGTTTTTTACCTACAAAGAACAATATTAATAGAGCTTAAAAACTTAATATGGCATACAAATACATTGTTGTTAGCTTTGGTTCTCTACTACACCATGCACTCCCCCTATTACTAATGACAGTAATCAATCTTTATACTTGTTATAACCCTACATCCTATTTTTTTCCTGAAATCAATGGCTTTTTCTCTCCAAAAATATTAAATCGGAAATCTTTGCTTTATAACTGTTTTAAAATGGGCAGATATTACAGAAAGGGCAGCCAATCCTAAACTTGTGTCAGGAACGAACATACAGAATGAGATGCCCCCCTAATAAATCATACCTATACAAAAATGGGAAGTAACCTTTGCCTATCTCATTGCAGAACTTCAATCTAAATGTTTGTCCTGTTAGGTGTAAGTGTCAGAAACCAATGATAAACTGCCACATCTTCACACAACCAGAAGTTACAGCTGTCAACTAGTCCAATCAATTTTGTTCTGTTCTTTGTCAATTTAAAATCCAACCTGCTGCACCTACAAATGCCAAAGAAATATCTTGCATCTTCCTGCTTTCAAACAATCACTGTCCCTAAATAATCCCTTCTCTGTTAGCTAAAATATAAACTACATCTACAGGAAGAAACAGCATCTCCTTGCCAGGAAGAAGAAAGGATGAAGAAATACCGTCAGTTTTTTCCAAGGCAATAGTTCAGACCTGGCTCCTCTTTCATTCTCCTAACCTTCATACCATAGCCTACCAGGCAATTTAGAGCATTAGCCCCTTGAAGTGCTAATTAAGTTGGGATTTTCCATTCCCTACAACTTTCTTCTTACAGCAGACATTCAAGGATGACCTTTGTCTACTCCCGAGTACAAATCCTGAAACATTTTTTCTCTTATTCCTACAGGTTTACAAACAGTGCTTTGCGTTAAATACCTTCAGCCAATCTGCCATGATCACGACACTGGGATCCTTCAAAGCACTGAAGAGCTGTTTGGTGGCTCTTTTCTTTTCCTGTCTGTAGTTCTTCTTCTGTACCTGTTTCAGAATGGAAGGGAAAAACAGCTGCTGTAAAACATGTTCTTTTTCTGTTATACTTGGAGAAGAAAGACCACTTCTACTATACATCTGAGACAGCTATGCACCAATTACCTCAAACCAGGCATTGTATAGTCTCCCTGGAAATGAAAGGTGCATGTTTTGGTGACTAAATTGTGGCTGGTTTTACAAGCAGCTGAGATAAATGTAAATATGAACTTCAGTGGAGTTTCAGCAGAAAAAGTACTTTATCTTGTTTGGTTTGGTTCTGCTAATTAAGCATTACTAAGGGTGCATACAGATATTACCCTGAGAAGTTTGAGAAGCTAAATCAGGTTAAAAATGGCCACCCAATCTAATGCAGTGATTAGAAAGGTACTGGGAGCCCGATCTAAGGTAAGACAGGGTAGGGGAAGAGGTGGGCAGAACTAAGGGGCTAATGGGTCCACAGATTGGAAAGGCTCTCTGATTTTGTCAAACCCTCCCCCCCCGGGCCCCTTTACACTCCAATCCAGCCAAACCACACTCAATCCACCCTTAATAGAACTAGGGTATTCTCAGTGGTGGCAGATGACAGAACAAGGAGCAACCATCTCGAGTTGCAGCAAGGGAAGTTTAGGTTAGATATTAGAAAGAATTTTCTCGCTAGGAGGGTAGTAAAACACTGGAACAGGTTACCCAGAGAGGTGGTGGAAGCTCCATCCTTCAGGGTTTTCAAAACCTGGCTAGACAAACCTTTGGCTGGGATGATCTAGTTGGGGATGGTCCTGCTTTGAGCAGGGGGTTGGACTAGATGACCTCCTGAGGTCCCTTCCAGCCCTAACTTTCTATGATTCAATCCCTCAAACTGCTCCCAGTGTCAGGTTTACTGGTTTTCACCACTGCTGGGAGCAAGATCAAAATATGTCAGGGTGGGGGGAGGGGTGGGCAGATCAGAGCAGCCAATGGCTCTTTAGTGGGGGGTTGCTGGTGGGATTGGGGGGCTCTCCCCCCTCAATTGGAGGCTACTTTCAACCCTCACCCCACCTCTACCCCCAGATAATCCTCCCCTTATGGACCAACCCCCTGGGCTTCTGGCACTGGCAACTTACTGCAACTGGGCTTCCTGGTCCATGGGAATGGGGGGATGGATGGAGGGGCAGTCAAAGTAGCCCATGGCAAGGGGAGGGGAAAGAAAAGTGCAGCCCTGGGGCTTGAGCTGGGGCACAGCTAGGCTCTCAGCCTTGGGGTTGCATTCCAAATGCATGCAGATGTTCAGTTAGATCAGTCTAACTGTGCCTGATCGAACTTAGCACACCTCTCAGATGAGCTAAAGTTATACTGTGCCAGCCATTTTTTGAACCAATCTACCCTTCAGGAAACATCTGTACAGTTTGGTACTTACATCTACCTAACTAGGGATCTAAGTATAGTCTGCAAGTGGGTGAACTAAGTTAGATTGGGCAGCTATTTTTAAGCCAATCCAACTTCCCAAACATCCGTATAAACCCTCCATCTTCTGTATATCTGGCTACTTGGGCAGTGGAGGCCAACAAAAATTCCTATGCAAGTCTGTGCAGAAGCAGATAAGGTTAATTCTTTCAGTTACATTTACACGTAGATGAAGTCTCCTAGAAAGTCATCCCACATAAGCAAACTGAAGCCTTTGAATTGCACCAGGCAGGACTTGGCCACTTGTTTTAGATCAGCACCACTGCTACTTCGCGTGCATTATACCTTGGAAGTGGTAAGCAAGGAATTTTGGACAAGGCTGTCAGACTTCTGTCAGTCTTCATGGTTATTTTCATCATGTGGATTGTACTGGTTGCCTCAGAAAAGCTGGCTCTACCACCTTGGCGTAGCTGCCCGAGGCAGTTAAAAGGAGCTAAATTATTTAGGTACCATTTCCCAGGCACATGAACACAGATGACCACAAGGGGCTGATATTTCCCAGTTTGTCAAATACAGCAGGAGGAACCTTAAAAACAGTCATGCACAAGTCTCTTATGCAAGACAGGTTTTATTGAACCAGCTTCCTTACACAGAAGCATCAGCTGACCTCTCTTGCTTTATACCAGGCAAACTGTCAGTGCTAAAGGAAGTGTAGTGGATAATATTACAGCAGACTCAGCATTAGAGCTGGGTGAAATTTTCTGGCTAGGAATAAGACGGGCAAAACATACCATTTTGTTCATTTTGATTTTATTCACAAATTCATGTCAAATTTGTGATATTAGATTTGGCTGAAAAACATTTGGAGACTAGATTTATAAAATTGACAGAGGGGAAAATTAAGGTGGCAGTGTACCCTTTTCAGTTAGTGCATTCACCAAGGTTGGTCTCCTCCTGCCAAGGAAATACCCTAACTATCATGCTGGTAGGTTAGAAGGGTGGGTGCCCTCAACCCCTCCTGTTGAGACTGTTTCCCTTTGTATAAACATGCAGTTGGGCAAGGGCATGAACCCAAGTGTCCTGCCACCCAAGCAAGTACTGTGACCATCAGTGTTACTGACAGAGTATCTCATTCTGTGTTCGTGAAGTGGCTCTCCTTCAGTATGATAGACTAAAGAAAATCCAGATCAGAATACCCTATATCCTTGTTTAGTTATGTACACAAAGCTTAATAACTTGGTTTAATGACTAAGGTGGAAGAGTGGCATCATGAGACAGCACATTTTATCCTTACAGAGTCCATAGCTTATGCTTAAGGCACTCTCAGAAAGGAGAGGTGTTGGTTCAAGTCCCCTCAGGGACAGGAAGTTGAACCAAGGTCTCTGACATCCTATACATGTGCTCCAACCTCCAAACTTAAGTAAAGGAGAAGGCACAATCACCAGTGCTTTGGGTTCAGCCTTTTGGGTTTTTTTTTTTCAGAAAAGTAAATAAAACAATGTGGAATGCTTCATTATAGGTTTAATTAAATTCAGTATGGGGTTTTTATTTCAGTTGGAAGGGGAAGAGGTGGAGGGAGAAGGAATCAAATTATTCTCTCAGCCCTTCTCAGTAACTTGCCAAATAACATGATCTGGGAAAAATTACAGCTCTTTTGTTGTTCAAAGAGCTTTAGAATATGTGAACAAATGCATGACAATATTGCTTCTTTTACATCAAATGCATACAAACAATTCCAAGTGCAAGGTTGGATGCCCAAGTGAGAAGGACAAAAGTCTTGGATTTGTATGGACCCATGAAAACAGGATCATTGTGTGTCCAAATAGACAGTGACACTCAGAAAAGGTTTCAAGCTGTAGGGTGCTTTGCTTGCTTGGGTTTTTTTGTTTTTTTTTTTAAAGTTACTAGTCATCTTTAAAAAGAAAGTAAGCAGGTGACACCTCAGCCAAAAGGAACTCATATTGCTCTACACATACCTTTAATGTTTCCTTCTTAGTGAATTTGGCTGTGGGAGATACACACTCTTTATCAGACCCATTGCAAAGCTTATATTCATTCTAAAAAAAAGAGAGAGAGAAGTAATGTATTAACATTAAGATGCTTATGTTATGGTTTAGTGGAAAAAATGTTTACATCTGCCAAGAATCCACTGAAGATGTATCAAGATTTATCAACATAACACCATAAAACTAGACAGACTCAGGAAGGGCCTAGTTGCAGTATACTCTTCACTTCCTTTTAAGTGTGAACCCTTTCTTCTCCCCACAAAGGGTTCTATACAGACACCCAATGATGGTTCCCATCTGTACACAGTCCTTTCTTCTCCTCCATCGATCTGAAAAACGTTTGTTCATTCTTAGATCTTAAAACATTTAACATTCTGAAGTGAAACACTAGCATCTCCACCCCATGAACATTAACAGCAGTTTTTTTAAATTCAATACATATTTAAATGAACAACTGTATTCCCTGAAGACTGGGGTAGGCTTGTTCTGGCAAGGCAGAAATTGCTCAAACAGATATACTTTATAGTGGCCATACTCAGAATTTTTTTTTCTTTCCAAGCTACTGCTTACTCCAGTCGCATCCCATTTTAGTTATAAGGAATCTTGCTCATGTTGGCATTAATCTTTGGCTCAAGAGGTTTTTAAACTGCTACTACTTAAAGACCCAGTTGAGCTGCCTAGAAATGTGCACAGAGAGGAGCAGAGCTAAACTATGTCCTGGATAAAACAAACTTATTTTGGCCTTTGGAAACAAAGCTCAAAATGTATATGTCACTTTAAATCATGTTTGGTGCCAAAGACATTTAAACTCATTTTCAAGGAATCTAATCTCCAATTTGCTGATTTATCTGATGAATTGAGAGGAGATATACTTAGAACACAGTCAGCAGAGCCAATTGGCCAAAAGAATCTCTGCATTAGCTTGCAGGTTCACATGGAATAGCCACGCAGAGCCCAGTTTGATGCTGGGATCCTGACTTAGACTGGTATTGTTAGTGCAACGTCCATGTTCTGGAGTAGAGTAGTGGACGGACTCAGAACACCTATTTATAGAACACCCATAGATACCTAGCTCTTCCACCACTAGTTTCCTATGAGACCATGGGCAAGTTATCTCTGCTTCCCCTTCAAGCCACCTTGTTTATTTAGAGTGTGATCTCTTTGGGTCAGGATTGTCTCTTGTTAGAATAATGTTACTATATTGACTTTGATTGGTGCCTTTAGGCACAACTGCAGTATAAACAAGGGCAGCGTTTGGGCAAGGCATTCAATTGCTACAACACAAGATGAATACTGCGCATCTGTGTTCCAACAGGATAGCAGGAGAACACTGTTTTCAGGAGCTCACTTATAAGAACTGGACTCCCCGTTATGAATTACCAGTAAGCTAGATGACTCTCTGCACTGTCAAGCTTTTTTTTTTTCATATGATCTTTAGAGGTCTTTTTGCTGACTGCCTCAATGTTATGGCTGCACTCACAGGACAACTACAGCCACTGGGCACAAGGTAAAGCTAGGGTTATTACAGAAGTCCATAAGGCATACTCCTTTTAAGAATAAAGCCCTGGGCCTGGAAGAAAGGCAACACATTTAAATAGCATCTGCATTTCCTTGCAAATCTCAGAAGGCTTGGAAGTAAAGGGATCTAGTCAGTTTTGGGGCTGCTAATACCATGGCATTATAAACAGTACTTATTAACTATATAACACTGCTATGTTATTAACAGCCCCAGAACAGAACTAGCTCCCTTCATTGTTAATGTTGTTACAGACCTTGAAAATGGAGAGAGTGCAGCAGTAAAACCATTTGTTTTCTGTCATTTTTTCAAGCCTTCTAAGAGCAATCCTTTGATAGCAGCTTCCCCTTTACAATTGCTGGCACAGTTAAAGGGAATGAGGTGGACAGTGGGGCTGAAATATGCTACAGTATATTTAAGCACTGAAAGCAGGTAACCAATACAGAAATAACCAGTTTGTTACAGTGTAAGCAACAGACAACAAATGAGAACGCTCATTTTGTTTTATAGTTAAATGAATTAAGCACTAGTCTGTTATGCATATAAGTGGAATTCACTGTAATACGATTTCTATTGATCCTTTTCATGTTTCTATCACTTGAATCATAAGGAGTGTTAAAAACCACATGACCATTCCACTTTCCAGGGACCATAAGCACATGTGCCAGAGCCTACATTTTGAAAACTACTGCAGCAGCTAATACACAAGATTTTTGACTCCCTCTGGACCATCTGAAAAGCAAATCCTATGTCATTACTTTTCTAGAAATGTGGAAATTAAGGGCAAAACTTGGAGTTTGAAATACAGAAGTGAACACTGTATGATGTGGTATTTGTTAAATCCATGCTTTTGATATCCTTTGATTGTGAAGGAAAGTTATGCACAATATTTTGCAATAAATACACTTCCTGAATTGCAAAATGAAGACTCAAGTAGTCTATAAACAAGACTTGTGGAGTCCTAGATTTAACTAGGGCTATAACAAATGGTTTTATCACTAATCTCACTCATAAGTTTTTATTTCTGATTCATGCCAACTATTCACTGTTTGGGGGTAGGTTTTTTTTTTGCAGAAGGCCAAATTCTTCCCCCTTTTCTGCAATACATATTTTATACTGCCTTTGCACCTCGAGGCTTTTCCGCGCTCACACTTTACAGCTAGTGATGGTCAAACCTCTGCAAAGAGAATTCTGCCCACAGAGCATATATTGCATTTCACATGTCAGTACTGTGTTACCATCTGAGGTACACTATTAGCTCTTCTTCACGGGAGAAAATATCTCCAAGCATACAAGTTTCCCACAAAGAGAATCCCCTGGGATTATTAAAATGATATTCATAATAATTTCAGATACATCCTCCAAAAAAAATCGGTGGAAAGAATTCTCCCCCACCCTCATTAGCATGAAGAATGAAGAATGTCTTGTCCATGAGATGCAATTATGAGTCAAGTGTTTATAGGCAGTTTCTCTCCCTCTAAACATAAAAAAAGATCAGGCACAGAGAGAAATACCAGGTACTGAGCTCATTAGCTAGACTGAGCAAACAGGAAGATACAAAATGTTCACAAGGTTCTAGGAAATCCTGCTCAGATAGATGGCTACAAAATCTTAATTAACAGAAAGGCACTCTTTGTAACCTAAGCACTGTAAGCTAAACTCATTTATGCAGTTCGTGGAATACTATTTATGCAGAAAGACTGGGAATAACATTTGACCGTGTAAATGCAGCTGGGTGACTTTGCTTGGAGATGAATTCAGCCAAGCAATCAACATCCACAACAAACTGCATGACACCCTGTCCCTAAACCTTCTAGCAGTAGAGATTGCGATGATCACAAAGAAAAGATGTTTTCACGATTAGAAGACTGAACCATCCTGCCCATCTTACAAACCTTGTTACAGTGACTGTTAGAGTGAGAATTTTAAGTTGGGCAAGCAATAAAATGGCACTGAAACCCGGATGTTTGCAAGAAGCAGCAGTGTCTGCTCGTTCAAGGAGCATCTGCTCAAATTTTATGATGCTTTCCAGTGGTACCACACTATAAAACCACCAAGTTTAAGAAAGTGAATCATATCTCCTTGGTACCAACCCCAGCCTCTTTAGGCATTTGATTAAGATTGCATACATATATCAAAAGTAGCTGAAAACATCCCCCATCAGCTAAAATTGAACATCTCTCATAGGTGTTTTTTTAATTACAGGTCAATCAAAACTGGATTAGAACCTGTGGATGTTACGTTTAAGTGACCTCAAGATGGCAGGTTACTTACTGTTGAAGTTCATTACTGCATTTTTCTGAAACATCAATGCATAATTATTGAATTTCATTGCATAGTTGAAACTCTTGGGATACTGTTGTGTCCACACGGGTTGGATTTACTAAATGTGCCAATCACCTAAGCCACTTTGTCACTTGGCATACCCTCTTACTTTTTGTATGAGCATTAGGGCTGTGCGAAGCTTTGGTCCCCGATTCAATTCAGCAGAGATATGGCCTGATCCAGTGGAATGAATCTCCAAATCTGAAGCGAATCAGAGGACCCTTTAATCTCTCCAAATCAAGTCGAAGAGATTCAGCGATTCGGACAGACACAGCTTTAAATATTTTTTCTACATACCTCTAGGTAGCAGGTGGCTTGTAAATGCTGCAATGCTGGGGCACATGGAGTGTGCCACAGAAGCACAGGGGGCTCCCCAGCACGCTCAGCAACAGACCCAAAAGTGGACCAGAAGCACTTCCAATCCACTTCTGGGTCTGCTGGGAAGCACGCAGGGGCCCCTGCAACTCCCCCCCCCGGCCAGCGACTTGTACCTCCTGAGTCTGGGGGAGCACCTGGGGGGGGCACCCTAGCACTCTCCCCAGCGGACCCAGAAGTGGACCAGAAGAACTTCCAGTCCACTTCCAGGTCTGCTGCCAAGTGTGTCAGGGGCTCCCCCACGCTTTTGTGGGACACTCCATGTGCCCCAGCACCACAGCATTCACAAGCTGTGCCTGGTACCTCGAGGTACGCAGATAAAACATTTAAAGCTGTGTCTATGGCTGAATCACTGATTCTCTGAATCAGCACTGAATCTTCCGATTCAGGTTCAATTTGGCTGAATTGAATCGGGGACAATGATCTGAATCAACGAATCGAATCACTGTCTCCGATTCAGGCCAAATCTGAATCCAAATCAAATAGGGCCCATTTTGCACACCCCTAATAAGCATTTCTGGCACAGAAAGATCATTGTACCCCAACAGCCATTGTCATTTGCCAAATGACCAGCTCTGTAAATGCTCAGGAGGAACTGCAACCTTATAGCTGCTAAGTGCCACCTGTTCTACAGGTAATTTCCTGTCCTACATGGTAAACAGGCTCTTATTAAGAAGACTGTGCCCCAAGACATTGAAGAAGAAAAAAAAAAAACCCCGAAGTTCTCTTCGGGTTTTTACCTGCTAAGTAACTTAAGGAAATTGATTCAGGTATAAATAAAACAAATCCAATCTCAATAGCTTTGATTTAAATTACTTTATTTTCATTAGGTTCA